CTCCTGGATCTTGTTCATTTCAAAAATCACGTTCCCGAAGGTTTCATTCCGTTTGGACTCCGTTTGATATTCCTTTTCTTCGAAACCCTAAAATAGGCAAAAAAAACAATTCTGGGTTGGGCCTCCGGTTAGTAGGTTAGTCCCAAAAATAATGTAAAAGTGTATAATAAAGCTCAATAATGTCCAAAACAGAAGATAATATAGCATGGAGCAATCAAAAATTATAGATACGTTGGAGACGTATCATAGTGCGCGGTGGAGGCTGGATGAACAAGAGCCCGTGGATGAACAATCGCAGGTGGAGGCTGGAGAGGTCGACGGTGGATGAACAGTAGCCCGTGGAGGCTGGAGGGGGTCGACGATGGAGATGAACAGTATCCCGTGGAGTCCTGTTTTGAGGTATGCCACACCCCTCCCGATCAACAGGACCCTGTTTCCACCGTAGGAGGTTCGTTTCCTCCGTTTTGCGGTACGCCAGACCCCTCCCGATGAACAGGATCCCGTTTCGAACGTGGTCGGTCGAACACAAGGCCATTTCCTCCATTCTGCGGTATGCCAGGCCGCGTTTCCATCGGCTGTTCTGACCCAGCCGGTTGACTCCCCATGAACACAACGATGACACAGTTTCTCCGTTCCGACCCACCCATGTACACGAGCCTTGGCCGTACGTATGCGCGAGTAGGCATTTGAGACCCCGCCCGTATGTACGTACGTGACTGTATTTTTTTCTTGCACACTGTCCGCTGTACGTACGTGTACATGCTACGTGCGCGCCTCTACTATGACACGTGCGCGCCTCTACATCGATCAATATGTACGTACACGTTCGCGACCAAAATGACAACGCTACATACGCTTCGACCAGGTGGGTCCCCACTATCAGGCACTTCCTTGCCTGTGAAGAATAATTATTTTGCGCATAAACCAGGTGGGTCCCGGTGGGAGGAATCATTATTTTGCACGTAATAAGGAGGCACTTCCTTGCTGCGGCCGTGGACCTAGCTGTCAGCCTCTCCATGTACAGTCCACGTTTGATGGAAGCCGTTCCTTGACCATGTTGACCATGCCGCGCCGAGAGCATGAGGGAGGTGGACGACGGTGAGGCCTAGGAAGGGGACAACACGGAGCCGGGGAAGACGCGGAAGTGGATGCCCACGCGTAGAGGAGTATGTGGGTTCACTAGTTCGCTACGGTGTGAAGCTGCCGTCGCCGCAGAATAACAGGGGGTGTGGGTGAGTAGAGGGATGCCCTGGCTAGCGGTGGGAGTATTAGGGGGCGGTGAGGCCTCCGCCGCATCGCAGCCGGCCACAGGAGGCAGGAGCATGAGGCACGACCGGCGCTGGTTTGGGCGGCTGGAGCAAGAAGACTAGAGGTTGAAGAAGCACTACGGCCGTTGGATGGACATCATACGTTCACTGGAGCTAGAATCGTTCATGTTGACTAAGTTGACAAAGCCCTCCGTCCCCGTCAACTTAGTTGGCCCACAAGTCAGCCTCCCATTATTGTGGGCCCCAGCTAGCAGGGGGTATTCATTTTTTGTGCATAATAAGGAGGCACTTCCTTGCGTGCGAAGATATAGCTGATGGGTCCGACCTGTCAGCGGTGGGAACATTTTTTCGCGAAATACAAAGGCCCTTCCGGTGGGTCCTAGCTGTCAGGTGGAGGAATCATTATTTTGCGCGTAATAAGGAGGCATTTCCTTGTGTGCATCCGTGGACCCAGCTGTCAGCCTCTCCACGCACAGTCTACTTCCGATGGTGTCGTTCATTGACCACGTTAACCACTCCGCGCCGAGCGCATTCAAGGTGGTGGACGACGGCGAGGCCCCGGACAACAACGAGCCGGAGATGGGAAGACGCGGGAGTAGAGTCGCAGACGGAGAGGTGTACGAGGGTTAACTGGTTCTGGTGCGGTGTGGTTCGGCAGT